TATATCGACTATACATATATATCGATATTTGTATATTTATAAGTATGAATAGACAAACACAGACACACAAACAAACAAAGACACAGACACATATATAGATATATAGATAAATATATAGATATCTGTATACACGCACACAAACTTATATATATATATGTATATAAATATATATACATATATATGTAGGTATCCAGTTACATAGTCAGTATATATATATATATAGATTTTTATATATATATATCTACATGTAAATATATGAATAAATATCGAACGAGAAATAGAAATAGAAGTACACACACACATATATAATAATATATATACATATAAATATAAATAGAAGAATATATAATAATATAATAATACATAATAATATAATAATATAATAATATATATATATATGTATATATAACAATATAACAATATAACAATATAATATATATATATATATTTGTACATAAAACTTTAGGCATAAATATGCATATATATATTTATACATATACATACACATGTACGTATGACCACATACACACACACACACACATACACAAACACACACATACACGCACATACACACAGACATATATATATATATATATATATATATATATAAAACAATATATATACAATGACACAATGACACACACACAAACACACGCACACACACATATGTATATAAATATGTACACACACACACATATGTATATAAATATGTACACACACACACACACGCATACATATATATATATATAAAATATATCTATCTATCTACATATATATATGTTGGTATGTCGATGTTGATCATTATATATGTGTATGGGATAAGAATCTCAATGCATAGACTCGTTTCGCTTTCTTGCTTGTAGACTTCTATAGCCATGAGTAGTGGTTAAGACGCTCAGATAGGCCGTGCGAGTCTTTCATACTTGTCGTTTCTTAATTAAAGTGGGAAAATTGTATCGCTGCACCTACCAGCAGATCGGCAGGTGTAAAGTGCATCACAGTTTAGCCTAAAGTGTGAATTCGACACACAGTGATACGGCATTCAGTAAGTCCGTCGCTTTGAAAATCATCAGCTGTATAACCTCACTCTGGTTAATGGACCTGTGGAGGCTGCTGGCCTGTGGTAGTTTTGCAGCCGCATCAGTTGTGATATTGTGGTGTAAAACTGTGACAAATGAGGATTTTTTTTTTTCAGCGTGGGAGAGTGGGATAAAAATATACAGTGGTGCTCAACTGCTCATATATCAGCGGAATATCAAGGCGGGGGGGGGGGCGACCGGGGGAGTTCGGGGGGGGGGCAAACAAGAAGATGAGTGGGCGGATATTTATAGATTACATTCTAAAAGTAATAGACAAATAAAAATAGCATAAATCTCCCAATGAGAACTTTAAATCAATTAATCTGAAGTAAATACTTGCACCTTTTTCTAATATCTCAAGAAGAATACCTTCGTTTGTTTTCATCGGAGTTCTAAAAATAGATACATAAAAATAGACTTTTATTACTTTGTCCGGAGTCCAGCCGCAGCCCAGCCTCCAGGTCCAGTGCCACTGGGGGAGGAAAAAGAAGCAATTATTTCTACAAAAACCACCAAAAACCACAAAAAACAACAACAAACTAAAATAATAAAATAATAAATAAGCGGCAGAAGAAACAGTTCAGCTGTCGCCTGTCAGAGTACAACTTCGGACTGTCAGAAGTCTTCAGTCTGTCTGTAACTGCGAACAGAAACTGCTGCACCCGCACCGACTCACCGACCCTCGCCCATCACCATTCCCAGACCAGAGTGGTGAGTGACCCACCAGACTCTAAGAGTCTCAGAAGTCAGACCCACTCCCAGTCCTCACTGGTTCGCTATTTTTTAATGAAATTAAATTTTGTACCATCTTGTAGTACAGTTGATGTATATAATTTTTCAAATACTTTTTTATGTATATTTCTGAGGAGAAAATAAATACACATACGGCCCAACCACAGTCAAACCGTAAGGGACGACTCGGGTGGGAGAAACTCAGAAACATTATACCGGCAGAACCAACCGACAGACCTTTTGTATAGTCAGGAGGAACAGTCTGCGTCGCCAGAGACCAAGAGATAGCTACAGTAAAGCTTAAAGCGAAGGGGTTCGAGACGCAGACACACAGGCCGAGTGTGTATATCGTTCGAGCACTCACGTACATGCAGATGGAAGACAGTTCCGTCTGGTTAGATAGAGATACCAGTGTTGTGCGGCAAAGCTGACAGTACTATAGTTTTGTTTTCATATCACTACAGCTTGTAATGCGCTACTCAGGCTCAATATATTCAAAAAAGTTACAAGACGTACAAAGAAGCTCCGGAAAGTAAGCGGAGTACGTTCCAGGATAGAGGATATACGCTCTTCAATATCAAAGCAAGCAATATAAGGGTTGTTTGTGAATATCGTATCTAGTTGGTAGTCTGCGACTTCACTTTAGATAGATATATGACAGCACGGAGATTGAATTACCTCGGCATGGTGTGCTGAGACCTAGAAATATGGACGGTAAGCATGTGTGTTTATCCGGATATCATATGCAACGCGTGTACAAGTTTGTTTCGCTTCTAGGACTTTTAAAGTTCGTTGAGAGTATCGTTTATTGAACCGTATTTTTATATATTGGTTTACTGATGCGGACACTTCTGACACACCGTTCACTAAGAAATTCACACTCAGGTGTATGTGTCAAACAACGTTCTATCTTTTCGCACATGTATGTGTACTGCTCGCATTTGTGGTGTGCAGTATCATCTAGTGCTGTTCCTTCGTTCGGACGCACTATTTTGTTTGATTATGAGCACCTTACACAACACATCTTTCATCGCCTCTGTTATGGGGCAGTTCCGCCGTGCTGGGTCTTTTCTGAGTGTTATACCTTTTTAAAATATGGGTAGGGTGTGCAATACTTAGTAATTGTATCTAGCTACTCTTAGAGATGAGCTTCATTGCGGCATCACATGCTGCCTCCAAAACCTGAGCGCACGATTTATTGTGGAATGAATATTACCATGATCATAATTCTTAATGCCACATCAACAGATGCGAAACGAAGCCTTTTATACTGTTGATTGTTTTAAGTATCCCCCGACTGGAATTGTTGTTTAATTTTGTATTTGTATGCTCTGTAAGAGACATCTACGAGTACGGGGTGTGTTATGCGTCGCATTGGAGTGTGCGGTACATACGATGGGGCATTTTAATATTGTGGGTTCACGGCTATAAAATAGTTTGTTAGTTGCATAGGTATTGTGGACTTTGGAGTGCCATCTTTGGTTCAGTACAAATTCACAAGTCAAATGATCGTACATTCGTACATCCTAGCGTTTAGTATCAACCCTGCCTGTCACTGTCTTAGTTAAAGGCGCCTCGCAAATATATGTACAAATAGCTTTCATACCAATATAATATAACAGCATGTGCGCATGATGCCTTGTGTCATGCTGCGTCTGCGGTTGAACACCCAAAGTCGAACGGGTGCATTGCATACACGAGCTTGTCTATTTATATTAATCTGCATGGTAGAACAGCATACTACGCGTATTCTATATTGTTCCGATAGTTGGCTATTGTACGCGGTCATCTTCTACATAGCTTCACTGGTAAGCAACGAATACGGCCATATTTTTGTAAAGGCTTTCAATCAAATGCGCACTTTAAAACGGAATAGAGAATGTCGTGAAGGACGAAGCCGCAGGTTCGATGGCCATTAATAATGGCAAGTTTTCATAGATACCTATGCAAAACGAATGGCCTGAGCAGACTTTATCAATCACCGTATCATACGAATAACTATGCAAAACGAATAGCCTGAACAGACTTTATCAATCACCGTATCATACGAATACCTATGCAAAACGCAAGACCTTAGCAGACCCTATTTATCATCGTATCCTGAAGTCTGTGTTTCTGTACACACGCAGTAAACCTCCAGAAGGTATACAGGTATGAGAAGATGATGAGCGTGCTAGATGAAAGCGTCACATACCTATCCAATAATCGAATACGATTGGGATGTGTATCACGCTGATATTCTATCGGTGGGGCACTTTGTGGCCTTTTCTATCGCTTGAATCCCGCTTCTCTTCACTGACTCGTCTGACAATGAACAACATCACTCTCGGAATGCCGTAAGCTTACATATGTGCTCGCGCTAAATGATTGTATTCCCCATATCAGACGATTCCGATAGAGACCAGAAGTTTCTAGAAGGATTGCCAGAGTTCTTCAATGATGACTCTGACTCGCCCGCGGGGAGTGACACCGCGGGTGGCGCCCTGAGTCGCAAGAACACCGGCGGTGGGGGTGGAGGTATGTATGTGTGCTATAGTACTGCCAATTGGTATCTGTTGGTTAGGTGGATTGCTTGGTAATTTTGAGTGTATTCGCTATCCGATTCTGTATGCATGCCTTTGCGCTTTGGTTTGAAACTGGCGGCGTTCTTGAGGTATGGCAAACGAATACATACAACTCCGCGCCATTGGGTTTTGGGTTTCGGCGGTGTGGATATTTATTTGATCGAGGACATGCTACTGTCAATTTATTTTAGAGTATGAGAGATATGGTCGGTATAGAAAAATGTCAAGACTCAAGACACCCATTACAGTGCTTCATTGGCTGGTATACACAGCAATCGACTGGTGTTTGCTGCTGACAATTTATCATATCACGCAGATAAGAACTTTCAACCGCACTTCCAGTTGTAATGCACAACCTTCGGTACAAAATATTTCAGTGCCTTGCTATTTAAAGGAGCACCGCATATATATTCTATTCGTCATCAATATCTCACTGAATATCATCACACTACCACCGTGCAGGCGATCTCGGCCTTTCTCTCAGCGGCCTCGGAGTTGTCGGCGGCGGAACTTCGGCCGATACTTTCAGCAATTTTAATTTTGGCGATGCCAACTTATCACTCCTGCTGGACGAGGCTGCGACCAATAATAATGCCACAGGTGCAGGGGATGGGTCAGTAGGCCAGACCAACGCCCCCTTAGGCATGTCGCTCAGTAGCCTTGGATTTCCATCCAGTAGCAGCAATACAGGGCTTGCGAAGAGTGGTACGACTGCAAATGCGAAGTCCGGCACCAGCACAAAGACCGAGTCAGGCGCGGTGACCAAGACGCTGACACCGCCATTGTCTATGAGTGGCAGAGCCTCGCCAGTTACGCTGGGAAAGGGCTTGTTGTCATTGGGCACTGAAGCGGTTAAAAATAGAACGAAAGCGGGCACGCCGGATGCGGGTAGTACGGGCGATGGTCGTAAGAAGTCTGGGGTAAACTCGCCGCCAGTGAACAAAGCCGATAACAACAACAGTGCAAAAGATGATGCCAGTAAAGGCAAGAACCCGAATTCCGGCTCTGGGCGAGACAACAATTACATGTCCGATATCAACCAGAGCGGCAGAGATGATGGGTTATCCGCGTTAGGGATGGGTAATATGAATATGTCGACCGGAACGCCCGGAGCCACTAATTTTGGCAACAACAATAACGGGATGAGCCAGTCCGGCGATAATGCGCTAGAAATGCAGCAGCGACCTATGAATCAGAATCAATACGGAAATCTGCAACAAAATCATAATCAGTTCCAGAACCAGATGCAGCAGAATCAGAACCAGAACCAGAACCAGATGCAGCAGAATCAGAATCAGAACCAGAACCAGAACCAGAACCAGAACCAGAACCAGAACCAGAACCAGAACCAGACTCAAAATCAGAGCGAAAGCCAAAACCAGAATCAGATGCAAAATTCGACTCAGAGTATAATGGGATCGAATATCGGAATTGGTGGCACAAATTTGGCAGGGCTGGAATCGCTTTTAGACCCCAATAGTGGGCAGAGTGGAAACCAGATCTCTAGCATGCAACAACCAGGAGCAGCAGGACTAGATATGGGCGGACAGGGGGGCGGTAGTGGTAATCTGGGCATGCCCAACGACCGGAACATCAATGAACTACGTAACCAGTTGAGTGTGCTATTGCATGCTCACAGGTGCAGTCAACTCAACGGATGCGATCCTACATGCCAGCTCATGAAGGAGGTCCTGACGCACATGGCCAGTTGTCAGAATAAGAAGAACTGTACCACTATGCACTGTGCCAGCTCACGGCAGATCATAGGACACTACAGGCGGTGTACGAACGGCACATGCGGACTTTGTGCGCCAGTCAGGAGCGAGGAACTTGGACAAGGACAGAACGTATGTTGTCATGTCATACAGTACAAGTTTGCACTTCTGGTCAAAGTTTTGATGAAATAACCGTTTGTATATCAATTTGATGGATAGGATCACACACACACACACACACACACACACACACACACACACACACACACACACACACACACATATA